AACCCCCCCNCCCCCCCCCCCCCTCGAGAAAAACCCCGGCGGCGAGTGCCGAAATGGGTTGCGATAATAAATAGCGGCCATCCCTCTCTCTCTCCTTTGGGCGTAGGAAGTTAGGATAGTTCAGTCCGCTGTCTATAAGACTGGATTAGAATGTATTAAAGAGGGGGGGGTGGATACTAGCAGGATGCGCAGTAGGAGCACAGTGGGCTGAGGTGCACGGCAACCTCAAGGTGCAGTTCACTAAGATGGGGCTAGAAGCCTCTCTACCTCTCTAGGGCGCTACTTTCCTGGCTAATCGAAGATTACCTATATCGAAGATTACATGTATCCTAAATATCCTGCTGGCACACCCTGCGCGGCTATCCGCCTGCGCTAAATTGACGATGATGCAAGACGATGGGCCACGACCAGGCCAGCAAGTGATTGAGGTGGTCTTGCCGACTTATTCCATGAACCCAACCGAGGTTGAGAAATTCTATCCTTCTGAAGCGAAGCAGATATGCGAACGTGTCCTCACGGGCCAGCTTGAAAACGCCACATATGACGACGAGTCCGCAAAAGAGTGGATTCTCTTGATTGGAAACACCATCAAGAGTGAAATCAAATCCCTGAACATTCCCCGCTACAAAGTTGTTGTCCAGGTGACCATTGGTCAAATGAAAGATCAGGGTGTGAGTGTGGCTTCTCGATGCCTATGGGACATCAGCAATGATAATTACGCCTCTGTCAACTACACCAACGAGACCCTCTGGGCTAACGTGATGGTCTTTGTTATTTACACAGACTGAAACAGGTCTGATCGAACACGCACACGACAAAGTGCTCTTTTTAGTTCCCGAGGCAGCGGAACACTAAACTGGTTCCGTCGAGCAAATAGACTTTCCTTTTTGTGACTGGAGACCGAACTCTGGGGCGTGGCTCGGAAAGGAGAAGACGAAGCTGATGAAGATTAAAGAGAATCGGAGGAGGAGAAAAAGCGGCTCTTCGGGTCATATGCGACATGGCAAAGTTATAAAGACCGGAGTCGTGGTCTTTTGTCCGGGCCTCACCATGCTCACGAGAGATGTAGTTTCGGGCATGGGGTGGCGCCTCGCGGCCACCCTACAGAGCGCTCATATAGAAAATAGTTATATGTAAGAAAAGTCGCATTTACGGCACTACAGTATGTCTCCAGTAAGAACAACTACGAGGCCCCTCTCGGGACTTTGTCACGAAGCTGCCGCCCGGCCCTGCTCCAGTCCCCACAAGGGGGAGACACCGCCACGATGTCCACCAGCCGCATGACCTCCCACAGCACCACCTGTGGGACGCGTCCGGTGTCGGTCCAGTCATATCGCCGTGCTTTCTTCTCTCGCGCCTGTCTCCAGAAACACTGGATTTCAGTATCGCACCGCGCCTTCTTCAGCAACGCCGGTCAGATAGGAGCATAAGGAGCGAGTATCGACTGGGCTGCAAGAATAAATAGCAGCTCATTCTCCCTCTCTCCTTTGGGCGCTAATTTCCTGGCTAATCGAAGATTACCTGGCGACCTCGCCCGGCCACCGTCATCCTCTCGGCCGCGGCCGAGAGGATGGCGGAAGGCGCCGCCGAGGCGCTGGCTCCGCCGCGCGCGGTGGCGCCTCGCGGCTTCCAGCGAGTCATCGCTGCCGTGCGCGCCGGCGTTGGCGCCGTCGCGCGGCTCGCCGGCGCGCGCGCGAGCCGGCGCGGCACGGAGGCTGCCGCGCGGCTGAGGAGCCGCCTGTCGCCCGAGTAGGGGGCGCATAGGCGCGCGATCGTAATCTCCGCTCGTCCCGTCTCCGGGCAGGCAGAGAAGGCAGAGCCCGCGGCGCGGGGCAGGCAGAGAAGGCAGAGCCCGCCGCGCGGGGCAGGCAGAGGAGGCAGAGCCCGCCGGAGGGGCCGGGGCAGAGAGGGAAGGGAAGAAACGGCGCCGTGACGACCCGGGGGAAGAGGGGCAGGGGAAGAGCCCGCGCGGCCTCGGGGCAGGAAGAGCAGAGAATTCCGGGGCAGAGCAAAAACCCCGGGCAGGCAGAGTTGCATGTTTAACATAAATCCTTAAAGTGGACGGAAATTGCATTTACGGCAGTACAATATGTTTCCGGTAACGAGTTAGTGAGTTTAGACCTATCATCATCCAGCTAAATAAAACTTCTGGTTGTGGTGGTCCTCTCCCAGCTCGCCGCTTCCCCGGGGTCACAATATGTTTCCGGTAACGAGTTAGTGAGTTTAGACCTATCATCATCCAGCTAAATAAAACTGCTGGTTGTGGTGGTCCTCTCCCAGCTCGCCGCTTCCCCGGGGTCCGGGGTGGCGCGGCTTATATTTTTTGGCCCGCCCACCACCCTCCTTCGGCACAAATGAAGCACCCGCCCTGCCCTACCCTCCTCCATCCCCGCTGAGGTGGCTGCGCCATCCAAGCGCGGTCCGTCGGCCTTCATTCTGGCATCTTTAATTGAAACTGAGCTCAACCCCCCCTCGAGGGAGGATCTTACTTGCTTCCTTTAGCTCAGGCTAGTGGGAGATACGAAAGGCCAAGTGGACGGAAACAATCCTCATTGCTCATAGTACACATGCGCAGACAAAGAGGGCTAGACCCTTGGTCGCTACGTGATTTGACAGATGCCTACACAATGGAACATCAGATAGGGGAAGGTGTCTACGGCAAGGTGCACAGAGCACGCGACGTTGTGACAAATGAAGAGGTCGCATTGAAAAAAGTCAAAACTGACCTGACAATGGAGAAAGAAGGATTTCCGATTACAGCCCTGCGAGAGATCCAAATACTGAAAGAATTGGCACATAACAATATTGTTGCTTTGCATGAGGCAAGAAAACCCTAAACTTTAATCTTGGAGAACCGAATTTCCCAAGGTTGCGCTGGGAGATGCGGATAAATCGGTGTACCTCGCATTTGAGTATCTCGAACATGATCTGTACGTCTTTTAGCGAGTCCTGGGATGCATGGCTGCTGCTCTCGTAGGGGTGGATTGATTGAATCACAAGGCATCGAGCTAACGGAAGACCACGTCGGCTGCTATGTGAAACAGCTAGTAAGTGGTGCAGCGTACATACACTCTCTTAATGTGATACTCAGAGTCTCAGAGATTAGATAACTCTCTTTACGTGATATCAACCGCTTAGTATAGTCTTTAGGTACTCCATAGAGACATCAAAGCCAGCAACCTCCTCATATCCAGCGATGGTCACTTGAAGATTGGAGACTGGGGTCTTGCTAGGCTCCAAGCCGACAACGACGGAAAACAGTATTACACAAACAGAGTCATTACCCTCTGGTATAGGCCTCCAGAGCTTTTGTTGGGTTCAACCAAGTCAGCTGACGGGTACGGCACCAGTGCTGACGTCTGGTCTATTGGCTGCATCCTTGCTGAGCTCCTTTACGCCAAGCCGATCCTCCCGGGTAACACAGAGATTGAGCAACTCGCCCTCATCTTTGAACTATGCGGAACCCCGACAGTGGAAGATTGGCCAAATGTTCTAGGAGCAGAGTATCTGCAATCCAACCAAGCGTGATTAAAGCTCAACAGGTCACAAACCTTCCGCTTTGGGAGACCTTCGCCCCGAAGGACGATGTTGATGATCCTGGAGATGATCGACCAGAAAGAAAATTGTTCATGACAGTGTCTCATTCACTATGTCAAACATTACAAATGCGAAGGCGCAAGCTCCGAGACAAGTTTGATTCCTTTGAGAGAACAGCCCTCGACCTTGTCGATGAAATATTGGTATACGATCCTCAAAAGCGCATATCTGCTCACAGCGCACTCGATCGAGCCTACCTCCGAAATGCTAAACGCCCGGAAGAATTGGATGTCATTCGCATCAGCTCAGCACACGAATGGGAAGTTCGCCAGTTTTTTTTTCTCGGCGCAAAAAGCTTGTTAAAATCAATGTTTATTCCAGTGTACATCAGGTCAGCCTTGAATGACTCTCGGAGATCGGAATCGCGGCGGGGCCGACCTTGAGGTCCAAGGACATTGGCTGTTCCTTATTTGCTGGCCTTCATTCCGGGCCTTCCTTCATTCAATCGGGCTCGGCCCTCCCTTGTGTGTGTGTGTGGGGGGGGGGGGGGCTTGTCTGGACCTGAGCTAGTTGCTGGAGTCCTGAACTGCCATTATCAAGCTTTTGCAGACACAGGAGCGCTATGCACTCTGTGCCTGCTTGGCAGTCACTCCTTCAGTTCGCTGTCTATAAGACATTAAAACTGGATTAGAATGAATTAAGGAAGGGAAGGGAAAATAGCAGGATACGCAGTAGGAGCGCAGTGGGGTAAGGTACACTGCAACATCAAGATGCAGTTCACTGAAGATGAAGATAGAAATCTCTCTATCTCTCTACGTGCACAACATGAAGATTATCCAATCTAGCGAAGCATCCAGAAGCTCCTCCATCCATGATACCTCGAAGTACGTTCCGGACGCTCTAAGATTATTTCCTGACTGTCCTTCAAGGGCCCCCTCTAATTGATGGGCTCGCTGGTTGGATTAACCTCGGTTATACTCGTCCACCGTGAGGACGTCAGCGACAGACGAGAACTCGTACTCGAGTACGAGATATATCTTCTGCCTCCCTCCTCTGTATCCTGAATATCCTGGCTGATATATCCTGGCGGCTATATCACCTGCACATATAATTTTTGTTTGAAGCCTCGGACAGAAGAATCGTGTATTGTGTGGGACGATGAAATCGAAGCTACGCAAATATCTCACGAGATATGCATGGTGGACACAAGTTTTGATGATCAATGTCCGTGGCGAGGAATTGCTTCGTGCGAAGTGGCCTTTCTTCTTGTTTTCGAGTCCTGCCAACGAAGAGACCTTGAAATGCTTGGACGAGCCAGGGGAATATATCCCAACCAAGGATCTAGCCGTAAACAGCGCCTATTTTGCAAATCAGAAGATGCCGCCAGGGTGCGACTGTCGTAAGACAGGTGATGCCGACAGTGAATGTTATATATTCGAATGCACATGTATCTGCGATTTGACCGCTGGCACTCACACAGCGCAATTGTATCGATTCATGTTCGTACCACCGTGATACAGCCCGCTATTGATGCACAGGGAGATGCGACCCAAATTGTTGCTGTGATGCAGAGTGTAGCGATTCACAAAGAAATCGATTTGATGTGCTGGAGACGTGCCTACCAGAGGGTGGCACGGACCTACAGATAACGAAGTACACTCACGTGAACATGTCATGCCACAGTAACGGAATAAACTCTAGGTGTTATTCAACTAAGGAACTCGATCGCATCAACCCCAAATTTCCAATGTCTGCGCGAGGTATGCGCAAAGACTGGATGCTTTCTGCTTGACAAAAAGGCAGGGATTGCGAAAGGTTCAGTGGACCGTATGCTCTGCGTGCGGTATGATAACTCAAATTACCGAGGCCAATTCTACGAGGTGGCTTTCGGCGTGCGACTGTAACATGTGGCCTTGTCTCCAAAAGTTTGTATCGTAGGACCCAGACTCTGTGAGCGATCAAGAATTCACCCAAAATGAATACGACTATTCACATTGGAAGAAAAGCCTCCTAGCAGATGTCCGAGTTACGCACATAATGCTATATGCACACGCTCAACATAGGCTGTATATGCTATAGACAATCACTTTGACTCTGGCGATTTGATTGGTGTGGCATTTTCGGTTGAGGAAGCACGCTCGCAACTAAAAAATGTGCCAATATATGATGCGGAAGAGGGCGCAGAAAGAAAACTTGTCCCATTGAAGCCTGCAGTGTCAGTCAAAGACAAAGGAGCTCAAAGTAGAGGTGCTGTAGGTAGATGCGTTCTCCGGAAAGTTACCTCTGCCAATGGCCACACATCTTGGGGAGTGAGTTTTAAAGTCAAACTATCTGCTTTCTTGACGAGCAGTCGCAGGTGCTCCGATTTCGGTCAAGCGCGATTCGCCACGCGAGCTGCTGCGCTCCTAGGAACTGGGGTTATTATCACGCAGTTTTGGTTTCAGGCCCAAGACGACGCGATGCGTTCGGGCGTTCAGTGCTAGTCAATTGAGTCAAGCATGCAATGGAAATGTTCTCGATGTTGGCCGATTTCTCCGCATTCATGTCGGGAGCTACGCCAGTGCATCGACAGCTGGCGCTGATTGGATCGATGTTTACAAAGTGTAGAATTATACTCTCTCACCTTCATTAGCCGCCAACTAGGTTGTCCCTCGGTCAATCATTTGGCGTGATTTTCACACTGGTGAGATTGTCTACGGTACTAGCAATGGGACTTGTGAGACTTTTTATGACGCGCGTCTCACACAAGCAAATCCAGCAATATCCTCACTTGCGCCAAGTGAAGCTGCTAGCGACGAATCATTCTTGGATTGTTACGCCGCCGTAGGTCAACAACCGGTCACCTTGCCTGCAGCACTCACACTGAACGAATCCTCCACGGCCTCCAACTGTGGGTTCCAGGCCGGATTGGCAAGACCCGAGCCGCCTGCTTGCCGAAACGCCCTGGTTGGCATCTGTTACACCCTAATTCACCGCACAAGTGGCACCAACAATATTATCGCTGCATTTCTTGATCTAGTCAGCTAGGCAGCGATATCAACTAGCCTAAATTAAGGTGCTGAATTAGGTCATCACTGATGTTCCTCTAGAAGCCGGAAATGATGACGGTCTTATCGTTCTACAGCAGGATTATTCTGTACGTTTCCAGAACGCTGATGCTCTCCCTCGGACCACAGCTAATCTTGTTAACCGGAGCAGGTCAGGAAATCCGGGTTACATCTTCGGTCGTCCAGTGCTTGCAGGGGAAATTGTGAAAACAACAGCAGAACAAAACGTCATATCTGCACGCAGCGATGGTCTTAAATTATTTGGTGCCGTAGGAGATGGACTTTGTACAATTTCCAACAACTACATGGTCCATTGCGATTGTTCATTATCACATCAATGTGCCTTCCTTGCCTGTAGGTTGATTTGCCCTTTGGTGTCAGCATGAGAACTGGGTGCTTACTTCAATTTAATCGGTCAGAACTGCGCGACTTTTGTGTCTACACGCGGCCACTGTCAATAATCTTTGGAGATATAGATGTCGGTCTATCAAGAGTCATAATTAGGTCGGTCGTAGTCCATATGCTGCGGGGAATGGCGTGCCGCATACCTGCAGTGTTGCTGGTCTTTTATTGCGTATCCGAATTGTGTAGGCAATACTTCAATGTATCTAACATATTTGACGTAGATACTGTCAAAATTCGTGATGACTATGCATCTTTCAGGGTCAAAAATGTTGGCAACCATATAGGAGGTGTCGGCACAATAGGTTGGCATTTTTGGCAACGCAGATCCACTAGATGTGTCGCAGTGGCGTAAGATTGACGTCCAGGCAGCTGCCAGTAATACAGCAACATGGCAAGAGCGCACTGGAATCTGCAAAAATGCAGTCACCACGATGAACTATCGTCTAATACCGTGTTAAAGTACATGTGAACCTTTTGACATGTAATGGTTCAGGAATTGTATGGGCATATGTCGGGTCACGAACCAATCCACAAGCCAAGGTCCTAGCTGCGCGTGTCGATTTCTCAAAATCAGACATTCGCCATGATTTCAACCATATTAACACGGCAAGGACCGAGTTTTCCATTGCTACAACTGCAACTTTCATCCAACGAGCAAACAAGCCCGCAGACTACTCACCCCCGTCTCCACCAGTTGCTATATCGGTCCCCTACGATGTCTGGTACCCGTTTAAGATCGATTCTGGTAGTAGAACCCGTATCAATCGATTCACCGATCTTGGATGTTCCTTGTTGTTTCTCGTTTGCCTATTCTTAGTTTAGGCTGCTCTATCACAAGGCCCACAATTTACTGAATAAAATTCCAGCACTTTTAGCATTGCCGAACAAGGTCCCATATGAGCTTGCTTAATGTCGAATGTCCGTCCAACAGAGCCAGCGCAACTTCGCTAGCCAGCAATCAGGCCAACTGCGAGAACCCAACTTACCGCCAAGTTTACCGCCTCCCCACCAGGAAGCTGCGCTCGCATTGCCCATTTATTATGCTATATCAAACGGCGGTGACCCACGCGCGCAAAGTCGGTGGAGGATCTCTATGGCAAACTACGCTCGGCGGCCAGATTGCTTTCGCGGAAGTACTATATGTTTCCAGTGACGAGTGAGTCTGAACCGTTCAGGTGAGTCAACGCGGAATCCGCCTCGATTCCGCCTCGATTCCGCCTGTTTCCCCGTCTCTCGGAACGCCGCAATTAAGGCGGGATAGTGGCGGAATCGGAAGGTATTCCCGCCGGGCTAACATATCCCGCCAGTTTTATGCAAATTAATAAAAACAAAGCTGTAGACGGAAAGAAGCTTCATAAAAATGCAGCGTATAAAATTAGCTTTTCAAAAAGAACATCTGTACTCAGTCGGGGAGAAATCGCTTCGGTCAGTTTAGATTCATGGCAAGCTCGCGGAGTCGGCCGAGATCCTCTGCAGGATCTCAGCCTACCACCCTCCTTCGGCACAGATGAAGCACCCGCCCTACCCTACCCTCCTCCGTCCCCGCTGAGGTGGCTGCGCCATCCAAGCGCGGCCCGTCGGCCTTCATTCTGGCACCTTTAATTGAAACTGAGCTCAGCCTCCCCCTTGAGGGAGGAGTTTACTTTGCTTCCTTTAGCTCAGGCTAGTGGGAGATACGAAAGGCCTAGTGGACGGAAACATATTGTACGGCCGTAAATGCGATTTCCCAATGACGATTTCCCAATGACACCAACGACGATCCCGGGTTTCAGTGTCGCCCCTACTCTACTGTAGTACGAGAGCCGGCTCCCTTCCCCGCCCCGACCCGAGTCGGCCTGATCAAATATGTCCGACGCAAATGGCCTGCCATACAACGATGACATATTGCCACCGCACCCGTTCGTGCCATCATGTGGAAATCCTCCCTCCCCTGTGTCTTCATCAGCTTCCCTAGGGGCGGACACAGGGGAGGCTACAAGTCTAAGAAATGCCAGGCAGCTCTTGGACGCGAAGGATGCAATTCTTGAGCCTGGACTATGGGCGACGATGACGGAGTTTGTACGTCAGGGGGGTGACAGCGGCGAAGTTCCGCTTCTCCTTGCACGTGGTCTGATAGGATATCCGCAGATAGCTCGTTTGCTTAGTAGCTGGCTTGGGATTGCGGGTGTTTCCCAGGCCGAAGTCGAGGCCATCGCTTGGGATGCAGTTAAAAAAGAGGTTAGAAAGCGACTCGACGTTCGTGGACTTGATGATTGCACAGTGAGATGCCGTACCTCGCGACCAAAATTCCTAGACGCATTGCTTGAAACGCGACGGGGTCGGCGCTTGGTCGTCGACCTCTATGGCTTTGCGGCGAGACGAAGCGATTATGGTCGAAGCGATCTGTTATCTCATTGCCTACGAGAAATTGCTGCGAGTGGTTATATCGCTGAACTCCTTGAGGCTGCGACCCTCGATTTATGTGAGGACTGGTACCTTTTTGAGGTGGCTCTAGTTGACGCCATAGTACGCGCTGCAAGGCCAAATGACCATCGTGCCTCATCAGTTGAGCGTCTCGTACTTGATGTACTCCGGTGTTGCGGGTCGCGCTTAGAGGCACAGTGCTATGCAAATAGCGTCCTCGAGACTCTTGACTTCGCAATTGGCGGCAAAGACAATCTCCTTTGGCGCTATGTGCGCCAAGACAAGCGCCTCGTGACCAACCCCCCGCTACTCCGGCTCATGAACATTCCACGCCAGATTCCCCTTGCACAAGTGCTTCGTGACTCGGTCCTGAGCCTCGCACGCCATCCAACGGTGACTACTCTCAATGTTGTACGCGCTGCATACCATGCTACGCCATATGTGGCATTTCTGCGTGTACCGAAGGTGGCTGCAGCCCTTTTCCAGCTTGCCTTTGATCCTGTGTTGGCTATACCCAACTCCATCAATGGTGCGGCAGATCTCATTGCTGCCGTGGCGACCGTACCCCCCAAAGCTGGTGACAATTTTGGCTTCACCGCCACAGATGAGGATTGCATAAGTGCCACGTATGCTGCAACCGCCGCGTGTGTTTCTGCAGCGGCACACGCATGCCTCAGCGAGGCCCTTTCTGCTAATGGCCAACAATCGACAGGAGAACTGCTTCTTTCCGCTACCTCTGGCTGTGCTGCGGCACGTCACGGAATCCTTGTATGGATCGCCAAAATTGTTGAGGACCCAACCTGGATGCGCACGCGTCCTCGCTCATTCGCATCGCTGACTTTTGGGATTCTACGCACTGCAGCGCGTTCACCACGGGCACGGCGACGTATCTTCAACGTGTACCAACGCATCGTAGATGCGCCGAGCCGCATGGGCGTTGCTACTCACTACCATACAGGATCTCAGCCCTCGCGTTTATCAGAGCCATACGATTCTAGCGATGTCAGCAAGGCTGTGGTTTTCGGTCTTGTTGATCTTGCAGCGGACTGGAGTTGTGCACCCGATGTACTGTACTTCGTCCAGGTGTCTAACTCTATCGATGGTGCGCTCCTCCAGCACTTCGTCCTCCGACTCGGGAAGAAAGTCTGTCCACCCTATTCAACCACGTTTGCAGACGCTGCTGCAAATCTCCTCGCCTGCCCAAAAGCCAGACGTGTCTGGCGCAGGATTGACAAGTTCGCAGCGAATGACTCAGAAACTATCCGCGATTTCGCTTCTCTCATCGCCTCAAATCTACGAGATGCCTCAAGCCACTGCGCCTACCTGACACGCCTTGGGACGTTAGGACAAATTACGATCGCACTGCCGAAGTGTGCTCCGACAGCTCATTCCACAGAATTATCTCTGATTCCCTCCCCGCATGTCGCCACTTCCCCCCAAAGCCCCTTACTCGAGCCTGCAAAGCCAGATTCCACTAGGCAACGGCAAACTCAAGGCGAGAAACGCCACGCTGCTGATCATCCATCCTCACCTCAGACAAAGCGACCTCGGACTGCAAGCAGCCGATACTCGAGCTCGACTTGACTCCACAGTGCCTGCGCACATCGTGGGGGTGTTGGCAGTTTTAGGCAATGCAGGGGCGAGTTCGGCACCAGAAGCTAGGCCCCTGGGGTTTCTGATGCTCGGCTAGATTCCTAACTGCGCATCCTGCTAGTATCCCTTCCCTTCCTTAGTTCATTCCAGTCCAGTTTCAAGTCTTATAGACAGCGAACTGAGGGAGTGTATAGCCAAGCAGAGGCAGGAGTAGCATAGCGCTCTTCTGTGTCTGTGGTGTCTGTCTGGTTAGCGTCACAGCCTGGTTAGCGTCACAGCTTGACGTCACGGTGCCAGAGAGCAGCGGGCTCAGCGAGGTAGCACCGCGTTTCTCAGCTCAGCTACTACACCCTGTGGCCGGGCCGGGCTATAATAGGCTACGGGACTTCGGCTTTGATTGAGGTCTGAGTCGCTGGTCCGTCGGGCACTCCTCTCATGCTGTGCGCTACAGGGCCAATTGAAACATAAACTAATCGCATGCTCTAATCAGCACAGTATCACACAGTATCTCCGTTCTGCTGACAAGTGTGAGATCAACAAAGTGGCCAACGCTCACATCCCTCCTTGCCGCGACTTTGAATGCACTGAGCAGGACCTCCTTTGCGTCATCAATGCATCGAAATCTTGGAAAATATCGAGGCGCAAATCTATCAAGGACGGCTTGGAGCACCCCCTGCGCCGATCCAACTGCGACCATCTGCCCCTCCGTGATCGACCCGAAGGAATCGAAAACGCAGACCCGACCAGTCCCAAATCTGTCAAGCCCACATAATAAGAGCGATGCGTAATAGGGGAAGGCTCGTCGCGCATACATCATTTGAGAGCATACCTGCGCTGCCACCGATGCTTCCATTGACATTTCTGCGCCCCAGAAGTAGCGCTCCGCCTCCATTCGCAGATCGTGGGATAATGAATCACAATCAGCCACACATCCCGAAGTGCCCAAGGCTGCCAAATTGCCCAAGGCTGATGTGCGTTCGAATACAGTGGAAGCAATCGTCATGCCGTGCACTAATTGCGAATCCGCAGCTAGAAGTGTGAAGTCATGTCCTGATGCTGCTGCGAGGGATCCGCCATTGTTTGTGTACGGGCGAAATTTTCCATAACATACACCGCAAAGCGTAGTCATAATGTAACACTTGAAATCATTATGAATCATTGAAAATTCACCTGACCATGTCCTAACCGCGCAGGTAGCCGCGGGCGGGACTTTGTGGCGGGGGTTCGCCTTCAACCATACAGGGCGGCTTTTTATCTGCAAGGAGCTCAAGCTGAACTTATTACTGTCTCCTATACGGCGGCGTCCGATGCGGCTGCCCGGTTCAGGGCGTGTTCATAGCATCATAATCTGACTCGGCTGTCGTGGAACTCCCTTATTTCGACGCCGTTCGCGTCGGCTTTGGCCGATCTCGTTGGATCGCTGATCTGAGGGGCTGCCCGAGCGGCTGGTGTTCCGCGAGGAGATCGTGTGTGCTGGCAGCGAAATTGTGTCCACGCCTAGCCCCTGGGCCGACGGTGACGTGTTGACCGTCCTCGCGTCGCGAGACGGCCGTGACCGGTCGTCCGGGCAGGTCCGTCCGGAAACGACTCGGACGTCTCGTTCGGGCGCCTCCGGGCGGCGCGGGCGCGACTGCTGGCCATCGTTTTTTCCTGCGCTTTTACTGTCCGGCGACTGGC